TGGTGGTGGTGGTGGTGGTGTTGGTGGTGGTGGTGGTCAACTGATGACACGTGTTTGCGCTACCGCCGCCGTGCAATTAGCCCCCCAATGTAATTTCGCGCTGTAAGAGCGTGCCACGCTCTTTTGGCCTAGTACCGTACCTGAGGGCGCATCGGTACCCCTGTATTACCAAGAGGGAAGTGATTTTCTTCGGGAGACGTAGAAAAATTCGATTTTAAGTACTCCACCGGCGGCACTTCGATGGTTATTTTTGCATCCGGTTATAACCATCGATGGAGAAACGGATCCTTTAAACGAACACTGGTTATCCTCGAGCCTTTGACCTACTGGTTAAAAATCCTTCCCCGCGATAGGCTGCCGCTTTTACGAATTTTCGACCACTACCGATGTAACGCGCGTCCCGGGGTACCGGCGTGCAATTTACACCGGCGTTGTTTACGTGGAAATTAGTCCTTACACGGTGCTCCATCGCGGCATGGATATTGTGCAATTAATTTCGCGTATCCGGAGAGCCGCATCGGGAATAAATATTCCTGTAATTGAAGCATCGAGTAGGTGCGCGTCGCTGGAACGTGATGCAATGTTAATGAACGGGATATTATCCGGCGACTAGTATCATTGCAGACGATACTCACTGTCGAGCCGGTAATTGTGCTCAGCGATGCTGATTAGATGTAATTATCATTCGGCCGAAGAAATGTCCCCGCGTTACCGTGGCTGACGCGACGACAGTACGGCTGCGTTCTGCTTCTGCTCCCGATTCCCGCCTCGTTGCTCTCTCGTTCTTTCATCAATCGCTACAGGCCCAATTGGCGGTAGGCTCGTGCATAATTAAAATTGTCGTATATATTTTATATCGATTACGCGGTTGGGTAAACTTTCCGGTGTCTTTCACGGTTGAAGCTTGGCAAAGAATGGTCCGTTGGGCAGACGAGGATGGAAAAGGAAAATTGCCGACGGGCGAGGGAGAAAAAAATAACGTCAATTCTGGGAAGACGATTAGGAACGATCAGATAAGGGACTTGGCTGTAAGGTACGTGTCGTTTCCCAGCCGCTCGAAGACTTTCGACTTAATTAGACGTTTGCTGTCGCCCTGATTTTGTCAGCTTTAATCTTGCCTCGTAACGGCAGTCAATAACGCGCATCCCATCTACGATTGAACGACACCACGCTGTCGTGGACTAAATATTCCAGTACAACGCGTCGATTCGTTGAACAAACCGTTGCTGAGACCGTTGCTGAGACCGTCGCTGAAATGCCGAAACGCGAACTGATAATTTCAGGTACCACTTTCGACGCGTGAAAAATTCTGCCAAGAATCGCGAACGAGCCAACGAAGAACCGGAAAAGTTGGCCTCGATGAGAGAACACACGCGGGGACATTGGTCGGAAAAATTACAAGGGAAGAGGATTGTTCGCATACGAATTAATTGCTCGGAGAAGGAGACAAAGATTGCTTCGTGGGCGAGCAAGCATGGTACGGATTATCCGCGAACGGGATCTGATCCTTCTCCGCGCCTTCACCTGTCTACCGTGCTGCATTCGCACAGATACGATCAGCAAAAAGGCCTGCCGCGTTACGAAATTTGCTCGCTGGCTGAATTTTTTCCATCGCGGCCGTGCTACCGGCTCCTGTATAGCCGGCGCGAAATTGTTCCGATAAAAAATTCTATTACCTATAATGCGACCGCCGGCTAGATTAGCATCTTTCGCGGAAAATTTAGGTCACACGGCTCGACGCGTTGTTCCCGTGCCTTTTCACGCCGTGCAATTTTCGACGCGCGCCGTAAAAATATCGAGAAAATAAAGGAGAAAATTGGAAACGGACTGGGAGAAAATTTGAAAATTCGCGAGAAGATTGTTTCGCATCCAGCGTGAACGATCTTGGAGAAGACGTGGTCTCGCGCGCGACCTTAAATGAAAAATTACCGTGCCGAATCCGTTCGGTGGAAGGTTCCCTCTCGAAAAATGGATCCGAGTAATTAGCAACCGACTTGCGTGTACACGAGAACGGAAAAACGTGTCGTTCGAGCTGCCCCACCTCCATTACCGGTCCACTCCTTTCGTGGTGGGTTCATGGGCGGAGCCAAGGACGTCTGTTGCCAAACTGTCACGCTGGCGGTCCACTGTCTTTTATTGCATCGCATCTTCGCGAGTCCTTCGTTCGGATGTAACAGCAGAAACGAGGAGAAGAGAAAAACACGACCTACCGGTTCGGAATAACGTACTCGGAACAATCCGATCTTTGTTTGGAAAATCAACGACTATTAATAATCGCGAGCAGCTCGTAGAAACAAACGGTACAAATGAAACCGTGAGGGGGAAAAAAGGAAGCACTGAACGATTAGAAAAATTACGGGGAAAAAAGGAACGCGCAAGGTACTGGAATTTGTAGGAACGGAACGAAAACTAAAACCGTGCGATCTTTTGAGCAGCGAAATTCACTCGCGTCCCAGATGTCAGCGTCGCCCTCAACCCTCGATTCTCGTCGAATTCGCGGTCGATAGGGGAACAGGGGAGTGACGGCGGCGGTGGCGGCGGCGGCGGCGGCCGAAAGTCCACGCTCCATGCATACAAGCGGTGCTGGTCGAGCGTGGTCTCTGGCTTTCTTTGCCGAGCTATACCCCCGACGGAGTGTGTCGGGAGTAGTGGCAGCGTAGTACGCGCACGACGAACGAAAAGGGTCCCCGGACAGGTAGAGAAAACACCTCCACGAGCGAAGGTGCCCCGAGGGTGTCGGGAGATCGTGGGTGTGGCCCGGTTTCGTCGCCACCCACCAGGACACCATAATGGCCTCCGTGCAGCCAATGCACCGTCTAGACGTCACAGCAGCCGAGTGGGGGAATGGTGGAACGGCCAATGGCTAGACGCACTAACGGCCAACCTGGGCGTGGCCTTGAGTGGCGCCACCGCGGCGACTTTCGGAAACCGTGCACCGGGCTCCGGGGAGAGGCTCCGGCTTCATTATGTATCATTATACCGGTCCGCGCCGCGCGGTGTGCACTGCAGTTACTGGGCCAGGCGCGCGTGTGTGCTTTTCTCTCTTCTTCGTCGTCGTCGTCGTCTTCTTCTTCTTCTTCTTCCTCCCTACGCTGGCCGGCGCATCGTCGTGACCGTTCTCTCGTCGACAAGCACGTCGGCCGAGCCACGATGCTCATCGGCGTCGAATAATCACGGCATACGCGCGTGTGGAAAAAGCACTAGCTGGCTGCCGCTGAACGAGAGCGAGCGTGCGCGCGCGCGCACGCCTCTGTGTCATCGGCGAGGTACAATTAAATCACGCAGTTCGCGCGAGTGTACTGTCACACCAGGACCAGTTCGGATCGACAGATTACCGGTCCCCGTCGGAGCAGCTGGACCAACCGAGAAAATCGCCGATCCTCGGATTTCCGATCGGCCAAAGTGTCGCTTCCAACACACCGGGACACGTATCCCGCGGATTCCGGCCCGGTATCGCGACTATTCCCGGTGGTGCACGATCGGAACGTGATTAAGAGTGACGATAGTTCGAACGGTGACCGGGGAGACCAAGCGCGCGATACACGCGCTCCGTCGCGCAGTGAAAAGAACCGGTATGCTAATGGCCAGTTTACCCGATCGCGGGGAACGTTACCGTAAATCGATGACGAGCTGACGCGTGCAACGCTCGCACGGTGACAAGCCAATCCAATCAATCTGTGCATGACTTTGGTGCATATTCGCGAGAGTACGTTGGATTCCGTTCTATCGTGAGGCTACGCGGGTGAAGTGCTTAGTGATCTCTAACTGTAACCGAGCTAGCTCAGACTACCTGCTTCAGGATATTGTGCACGTGAACACGCGAGGAGAACAATTAGCCAAAGCAACCCAGTGACAATTCCAACCTCGTCCAAACTGCCATAGTTTCTTACGAAGTGACAGTGAAGCCGGATCAACCCTCTGTCTCTCGAGCCCCCCGGCTCATCACGGCCGTTCACCATTACGGATCGGCCATCATCCAGCCATCGTCGAGAACCAATGTCACCTCTCCGTCATACCCAGTTAACGTCGTTTCCCTAAACCGTGCCCAGTGACCGGTCGTCAAGCGTGTAACAGAGGCCCCAAGATTCGGGCCCCGTACGGTGTTCGCGCGACGGCGGCGGCGACGACGTCGTCGGCGAGTTTGTCCGCGAGAACCGTAGGCTGTGGCGGCGGCATCGACGTCGCGACTAAGGTGGAGCGTCCGGGCAGCACGACGACGCTCAACTTCACGGACCTGGGGAGCCCATTCGGGGCGGGCGACCCCTGTCCGTCTAGTACCCCGACCCCGAACAGCATGTCGGGAGGCGGTGGACCGTCCGGCGGAGGCGGTGGCGGCGGTGGCGGTGGTGCAGGTGGCGGTGGCGGTGGTTCCGACATGGAACAGCATCTTCATCACACGGGGTTGGGCTCGGTGACACCTGGACCACCTGGTGGCAATGGCGGTGACAGTACAACGTCCAGCACGCCGGTTTCGCAAAGTGGAAAATCGGCGTTCATCGAGTTGCAACACAACAATCTGTACAATCCCGCCAGTCTACGTGGTGGTTATCCCGGCGGACACAATGTGCCCGGTGCCCATCAGTTCTCGCATCAAGTCGGCGCGCTAAGTCACCAAACGTCCGGACCAGGCAGCGGGAACCAGCAACACGCGGATGCAGGATTCCCCAGTCCTAGGTCCGCGCTAGCCGGATATCCGTTCGCGCCCATGCACCAGCACAACGCCTACGGATATCACCTGGGATCGTACGCGCCCCAGTGCCCCTCGCCGCCCAAGGACGGTGAGTACACCAACTGTATGTATTCGCAGCTTTTTTATTCCTACTATTAGAATAGAAATAGTTAACCTAGTTCTGCTCTTCGTTCCTGGAAATCGGATTCGGATCTATGCCTATCATCGCGTCCGTCGTGTACACGTCCGATCGTTAGAGGGCCCCGTGAATCGGTTCTCTAACCTTCGCGCGTTGTATCGCATAGCTTTCAGAGTTACCATTCTTTGAGAGTGGTATTCGGCGATTTCCCAGGACGAGGAGCCCCCGGAAGGTTCGCAGCGCGCATCATTGTGCTGTTTCCTGATATTTCTGTTAAAAATCGAAATCCATAGATCCGCTGTGAGCCTTTCGAAGCGTAGACTTCGAAGTTAGCTAAATATCGGACAAGTAGAATAGCTTCGTGGACACGTCGGGCTAAGAAACTTCGAGGAACCATCGTGCCAGCCTAGCGATCGTCACTGATAATTTATTCGGACATTCGTCAGACTCGTGTGACCGCGATATTTCCTAATTCTTTGGCTACCGTGCGTCTGATCCCGCCGGTAGATTTCTACTCGAGGCGGTTCGTATTCGTGCTCCTTGCAAGTGAAAACTCGGTCATTACGTCGACGTAATTCATCGATAATTACACGGCGACGACGTTACTGTGTTTCCAAGATCGATTAGCAGTCCCATAATCTTCGAATGGTCCTCGTTTGTCGAGGTCGGGTCGCCGAGGATACGTGACTGGCGTGCGCACGCGTGGCGATCGGGCGTCGAATCGAAATCGTGAACGTCTCGATCGTGGATCGTTGATTCCGCCGCGCGAGGAAGGCGCCCGGACGAAAAAAGCAACGAAAACGGAAGAGAGAATCTAGAGTAGCAGGTAGTGGTCGGTCGACGGCCTGGACAGGCACAATAACGCCGAGAAGCGGAATAAGATATACGACTAGGAAAGAGAATCCTCTTGGGATCCGAAAAAGTCCCGCAAAGCGGCTAACGAACGAAACAAAAAGCCCCCAGGCTGAACGAGAATAGTCGCGGCCTCCCTGTGTCCTCGAGAAGCGCCGCTAGATATCCCAACAGGCAGATTCAAACTGTTGCAACTGTACGTTCCTACGTCGTCTTGGTCGTTCCCTCGGTTCTTCCTCTAAATTTTAATTCGCGAAGGTGTAATTGGTTGATTACGTCGTTGAATGTCACGAATCCCCGTCTCTTCGTTCGGCAAATAAAGAATAATCGACGTGGATTGTACGGTAGCTAACCTAGCTGCTGATGGAGAGAGAAAAATACGGTGCATCGCGGTTAGAATGTACGTTCGAAGCACTTCCGATATCGCTGCATCGTTTGTCTGATGAAGCTGTCAGCCGGGAATCGACGGACACGAACAACGATAGCCGCGCGTCGATAGAGAACGTGAAATATTCAGATGTTTAGACGCGACAGTATTCGCGACACGGAAGACGCTCGACAAATCCTAAATTAATTGGAATGGAATTTACGCGAGTTTTTCTTTTTCTCTTTTTCACCGCGGAAACTCGCTATAGCTTCGTCCCCGAGGGGACTCTTCCACGAGGGGACAGTCAACAACCCCCTGCGAACCCTTTTCGCCGCGTAAATTAATAATGACCGATGTTCTTCTTCGTTTCCACCTGTCTTTTACCCCCGTGAACGTGCACGTTCCAACGTTTCTGCATTATGGAAACCACGAGAGGCTCTCGCCCGCTGGAACCACCCCTTCGGGTAGTTCGAAGCACAGGCGCATCGGTTATAGGTAATCTCGAATCGATGTGTTTGTCGAAATTGCTAGGAGAGCGATGAAAAGATAGAGAAGAAAAAAATAAAAGCGTCGAATCGTCGATGAGGAAGCACGGGAAGGGTTCACCCTAGGATATAGTTGAACAGCATAAGGGAATCTCCCTTAAACCACCAAAGGCTGCACTCTCGGCAATTTTTCTTGCCCTTATTACACCTTCCTTTCGATTCGAGAAGAGAAAAAAAAAAAAAACAAAAGGAAAAAATTGCAAATGCTTGACCATAGACAGTCGATGAGACGCATTTTCCAAGGGTCACGATCGGTAATGGCCGACGTTCCACGATGCGTTTTCGCTGGCTGCACGACCATCGGTTCCGTGGAATCGTTCAGACTATAGGTCATTTTCTCTCATTAGGATGACAATTTCTTCGTGCTCGGTTTTCATAAACCATTAGTACAGACCCCGGTAGGATAGAACTATGACGAGTTCTGTTCGCGTAAGAACCGGATTAGCGAGCTAGAAAATTTCGCTCGAGGGGGTTCATCGTTGGCTCTCCCGCGACGACGGCGACGAATCGCGATTGTCGTGTCGTAATGCTCCGTCGATCTGCTTCCATTAAGCCTGTTCCCAGCATGATTACGATAATGTAGAATTGATTTATCGATCGATAGCCACGCGTTGCCACGACGATTATTGATTGCACCGCGATCCTCGTAGATCATTCGGTCACCGTACTTTTTCTTCCCGGCCGTTTTCCTTTTTCTCTTCCGTCCACCGATAAAGGAACGCGTCTTCCGCGTGGTAACGCGAGATTCGTCGTAATTGTGCCGCGATAATTGGTTAATTCGAACGTACCGATCGTTAGCGATTAATCGTAACCGGGAGGCCGTTTACGCGTGTGACAAATTGCGACGAAAGAATTCGCTCGCGGTCGTCGTTGCGAGTAATCCCGTTGCCTCTGCACGAGGCTGATGAAGGCGATTGAATTAATTAAATAATAAATATCGTTTTAGAATCGCGATCGAGTTAATTACCAAGGAGCACGCTATTGTTTGCACATCCTCCTCGGGGCTCTGGCCACCTGCCGCGTGTCGCTCCTTTCAACGAGCTCCCTGACAAAATACTTGACACCTCCGTTTATGATACCTCAACCTTCCAGCCCGTAGCGAACAGAACCAACGGAACGTTCTAAATATCGAAATTCATCCTTCGATCTTGCTGAATAAAGTCGTCCTAGGGACTCCGTTCCCGACGACAGGACTGCGCGAAGGAAACACGACAGAAAAGACGATCGCGATCCTGTACACAATCGTTCAGCATCCGCCGTACCATTTCGCACTCGACGATGCGCAAACAGTGTTCCCTTAGGTGGCATCGTGTATCAGCGAGCAATCTCGTCCTCGCGACAAATGAACCAGTCATTAACATCGTTCCTCGTCGAGCCTCCCGTTCGGCTACCTTGTCATCGATGTTCAACCCATCCACGCCGAGTTGCAACGAAGCAAACGCTCCGGGAACCAGAATCCAATTAGCGTGGCTACCTTTACCGAACTCTACATTAGTCACCGGACCTGGCAGCGACCAACCAGCGGCCAAATTAATCCGGAACGGTTCAAAGACAATGCGCCCCTCGAACAGTCCTGGGCCCGGACCAGGGTGATGGATTAGGTATTAAACGGTTGTTTTCACAAGGATTAGGAACACCGACCTGGAACACGCCTGGATCACCCGACAGATCTCCGAGAACGGGGTCCCGTGCTGCTGTGTTCCATCACGGACGACGGCGACGACGACGACGACGACGACAACGACGACGACCAGGACGACGGTTAGATCCTCCTTCTCTCTCCTCTGCTCCGGGGTTAGAGGATTTGCACGGAAGTCGTGTTTTCTCTGGCGTAGATACATCCGTAGATATCGTGCGGCTGCCACTCAACCGGATCCTGGTTCGTCCCCCAGCTGACAATGAGAAAAGTAGGGTTCGAATGGTCGTCACGCAAAGTGCACCGGTCGCGGCTAGCTGCAACGATCGACGATAAACTATTCGCCTAACTCTCCTGTTTTTCCACCGTACTCGACCAACTTCGTGTTCCACAGACAGGCTTAGCTTAGTTTCGGTAGGTCCTTCGCGATCCACGGCCAAACGATTTTCACGGAAACCGGTGTGCAATGGTCGATCATCCGCGAAACACGGAGTCCCTGTTCTCTCTTTCCTCTCTTTCGACGAAAGCTGCTTTAACGACGTTTCGTATCCGTACCGCGGATACATAGATCGATAAATTGCCTCCTCGAGGACGATTATTCTCGTGGAAGAACCGAGGAGAGCGTGGATCGATCGATCGCTTACACGCGAAAATCGGGAAGGCAACACGCGCCTAAAGGAAACTGGGAACGCACAGCCGTTCGCAAATGAGCCGCGCGAATTACGCTAAAGTAGTAGTTTCACCGCGACGGAGCGGTTTTCAGCAACCGCTTTGCATACACCGGCGAGCTAATGACTCCCGCGGAGTCTCGCGGCACGCACGCGGTGTCGGGAAAAATTAATCGTAAAACAGTGCCTCCTCGGCCGCGATTTTTGTTATAGTTGCGTCGAGATTGCGAGCTTTTATGCACCAACCCGCGGGCCGCCGGTTGCATCAGAGGCTGTGATTAACGCGGTTGGCTCGCTGGTAATCAGTGCCAATGGCGGCCGATAAATACGTTTTATCGAACGTAATTCGCGATAAGAAGATAATTCGCGTAAATCACTCGTGACGCGTCCCTCGTTCGACTAATCTTCGGTGTGTCGATGTGTGTCGCTTCTCGAGATTTATTTTATGTATATTCGGTGAGAAATTTGTCCGTCGGTTTGTCGTCGAACAAATGAAAAAGAAGAATTCGAGTGTTACACGGTCGAAGCAACCTGTTATATCCAGGGACGCGTCCATATTAAAAATGGACGACGAAATTTTCGAATCTGCGAAATTTTATATAGAAGCAGGAGCTACTCCGAGATGCTTAACCCTGCAAGCTTAAAATCAGAAATTTATCGCGAATAGAAGAGATCAGGGAACATACATAAACTGCAGTGGCGTTAATATTTCAGGAAATTCAAGAAACGATGTTAATCGTTTGGGTGTGAACGATACGCAAGTGAATAATATCGGCGAGATCGATATTTCATTTGAAATTTTCAAAGCTAGTAGCGGAATCAAATAAAGTGACAAGGATTGATCGATAGCCCGGGAAATTTAAAAGTTGCTGGATATAAAATAAAACCAGTAACTCGCTACATTATGCTCTTTTATATGACGTTTGAATAGAAAGACCGGTTTCGATATCTAATTGATACCGTTTCTAATTAAGAATCAGATCTATAAAAACTCGTAATCAACAGCGAATGGCTAAGAGTCAAAGGCAGTGTGCATGAAAATGCGCGGAGATAACGAAACGGCCATAATTTCTTTTCAAACAACGCGATATATTCGGTGACATCGTGGCTCCCCTGCGCGGCCACGATAAAAACGATAAAACACCGAATAACCATTATCGCGTTCACCTGACGGGAAATCGTGTAGGTTAATGTATTCCACGATACCGGTCACGACAGCGCAAAAACGTCTGGTTAAACGAAGGACACCGCCTTCTGGAAGAATCCTTGCCGATGGAAAGCTCGTACCTTCGACGAACACGCGACTGCGTACGATATCCGGGGACGATGGCGTTGCGAATCGCTGAAAGAGCAACCGCGAGGATCGATGGTTAATATCTGGCATTTCACGCGTAATCGAAATCTTCGTGGTCGGTTCGCGATCGATCTCGAAACTCGTTGATCCACGGGTCAGACTCGCACGCCCCCGTTCTCGACGACACGGCCAGCAATAAATCATAAGAATGGTACTACGGGAGTGTGTGCACGCGCATAGTATGCACGTACCGTCCCGGGTCGCTATAAATCCGACACATGGAAAGATCACGCGGGTAGTCTCGATTGGTTAGCTTCAGTTAATTCCGAGTTTCGTCGTGGACGTCTCACTCGAGGCTTTCCCGGCCTGGGTAGCAGTCGGTCGTAGGCCGCGTGTCGATTTTCATCTAGGCACACGAAGACAGTGTGTGCACGCGGTGAATTTTCCACGGTGATATTTCCTTGAACGCCACTGTGGAAAATGACAAGGCTGGCCTGTTTGGATTTCTAAATGACTGTGTTACGTTCAAGGATTCACACCGCGCGCCGTATTACGCTACATTGTAATTAGGGTATAAACATAATGGCGCGATCGTACGTACGATAGCGTTGGCCGGGCTGGCACGATGCGTTTATTTAGTCGGTGCGTAATTATTCGATGATTAATTTATAACAATTTTTTTTAATTAATTACACTATGGTTAGCACTCCGATATTGTTCGCCGCGATAGCGATCACACGTGGCAAATTACACGAGATTAATCATGATTTATCGCGGCTACCTACGCCCGAACCTTTGTCGCGATCTTCGACGCGCCTTGCATCCTTTTCTTCGTTACCTTTCGTATCGAACCATCTTTTTTAGCGCGCGCGCGCACGCGCGCACACCGACCCTCCGTTTCTCGCGGTTTCTATAAACGAGCCAACGATTCGAGTCATCGTCGCGACAGTCGTTCAGGTTTCTGTTAAATTTCTCTTTAGTTCGTACACAACCGGTGACGAGGATTCTGAAAGTTGATGTTAGGGTGGTGCATGTTCGCAGACCTCTCGCCATTGGGTGACAAGGGTGGCAGCCTCGTGGACGAACTCGGCGGCGGTGGCGGCGGTTCCCTGAGGAACGGCAAAGGCAAGAAGATGAGGAAACCACGGACGATTTACAGCAGCCTGCAGTTGCAACAGCTCAACAGGCGGTTCCAGAGAACGCAATACCTCGCGCTACCAGAAAGAGCGGAGCTCGCGGCGAGCCTTGGGCTGACGCAAACGCAGGTCAGTTTCATTTCTTCTCTCGGATCCTCCTTGTTCCTTTGATTTTTCTTTCTTTCCGCGATCAATCCTCTCTCACGGAAGTACCGATCCACGGACCGTGTTCTCACGTGCAACGAAATTCACGTGCACGATCGCCGCTCGGATGATGAACGCCGCGCTCGTCACGCGAATCAACGAGCGGTTATGTTGTTCCGTGACTCTTTACGCCTGGAATCCACTGTGTTTTCACGTTATCTCGGCAATTAAGTACGGTTTCCATGAAAATTTCATTCGGCGCGCGTTCAGCTCTGTATGCCAGGAAAATCCCTTCACGGAAACCAGTGATACCCTCGGACGCGGTTCCTCTACAGCTGGACGAGAATGCAACCAGGCACTCTGGTTGCAACGTTACCGAATCATTTCGAACATGATTACGCATAATTTAACCTCGTGCATTTATAATAATTCCGATAATAAGAAAAGATCGTTCGCCCCCTGAATTATTTCTCGTAGAGTTTCTTTCCCGATGATTTTCCGCCGCGAAAATCGAGTCGTTCGTGTGAAACTTCAGTAACGGAAGTCTTCTATTTTTCGTTCGATACGCGCGTGCTATTGTTCACGAAATTTCCGCGCAATATTCCGCGAAAGGTAGTCAAGTTTCTCGCGTCCACCCCTCGAAACCACGAGGAGATCCTGTTGCACCAACAGTCCAGCGTAACAGGATCCTCGATGGACGGCATCTGTCAGTATTATCGGCACAAATGACTTTACTAAATCACCGATCCGCCACGCCCTGGACACCGGGGATAGGGTTGCCGTGGTAGCGTGCAGCGCAGCGACAAGAGGGAGTAAGCTAGCCGCGAAACAGCTAACGAGACGATCATAAATATTCCTCTTGCCGGGCGATCGCCAAGTTTTTCAGCTTTTCACCGTGGACATCGGCCGGCTTTCCGCTAATTATCCGGCTTGGTTTCCAATTAACGATTTATTAGGGGGTGCCAGGGAGCCGCGGTCAAAAGCTAATTGGCCGCTGGCCTCCTCGGAGCCATGAATTTCTCGCGGATAGTCGCACGGTTTCCAATTAACGATTTATTAGACCGCGATCGCGCCTCCGATCTAATTGAAACGAACCATAACGCTCGCGAAATCTTTATTCCGATATCTCTGCGTTCGCGATTTATGTACCGGTGCAGCGTGTCCGATTAAAGCTGCATTCGTTACCAACGAAATCCTTTAGGTTTTGTCAGTTTTACGACTATCCAGCCGAACGCACTCCAATTACGTTTCGATTCCTTCCGATTGGAAAAAGAGCAATGCCCGCGGGAGAATAAGATTCCGACTGCGTTTATCGATTATACGCAGAGATATCGCGGAACGATTTAAATTCTGCGGATATTACCGCGGTCGGATGATAACCCTGATTCCCGTGGACAATGAAAATTGGCGCCAAATTGATTTACTTGTGCTGGACCCCCCCTGGCCCTGCGGACGTGAAAAGGCTAGAGGTTTTCTCATAGGTACACACGTCGCGATACGTAACTGCGTATCGCGTAATCACGGGATAACTGGCTGTCGTAGCTCGCTGATGTCGTCGCAGGGGGTCCCGGACCGGATAATTTCATTAGTCTGAGCTCCGCGGGAGTTATTCCCCTCTCACCGCCACTGGCAGAGAATCGAGCCCGATGCAGGCTGATGAGTAATCGCGGCACCGTGTCAGGTTGTTTGCAAAATAACACGGAACAGAGCATTCCGGCGTTGATTTTCAATAGAAGAATCCAGAGAATCGGGCTTCCATTTCTGGCTGCAATTTGTTACTTTCAACGGGCACCCCCGGAAAGTCTCGAATTATCCGTAACTCGTCCGCGCGGTTACGAAATCCGGCGAGCACGGAAGAATATCGGCGCTCGTCCCGATCGCGGTAAATATCAGATACGCAATTCGGATGGAGGAAATCGAGCGAAGAAAACTATCAACGCGGAATTCTCTGTTCTCGCGGAACGCGAATTCATCGAATTCCCGAGTTTCGTCAAGGTTTTCCTCCGCTTCTTTCATCGCGCGGCCCTCTTCTTGCGCAACGCCGGCTTCCGCTGCGAAACTACCGCAGTCGCTGCAGTGTAATTCAAGGAGGAAATATTTATGGTGAAAACTACATAAACGCGGGAACTTCTTCTGAATTATAAATTCTCGCGTTCGAACGAGGTTTTCATCCGTTTCTTCGAAGCGCGTTTTACCGCCCCCCCATCAAGCAAGGGTAGCTGTATCAGCGGCACGCGAACCGATCCGCGAAGCCTTCGAGAGCCGCATATTGGACGCGACACATGGTGCGCGGAGGAAAGCTCTCGCGGCATGATCGCGGTAGCCGATCCCGAAGAAGCTCGCGGCCGGTGCATCTCTTCAGGGTGCACCGTGTATAATCTGTAATCGGCCAATCAAGGCGTTCGAGCAAGCGCCTCTGCCTGCTCCGTTGGCCCTGCTACCGTCGCATCGGGTTTCTTGTCATCGCCAGCAACATGGCGCCTACAGAGCCTTCAGAGACTCTTCCATCTTCCCTTCGTTGCTGGTCTCCTCCTCCTCGCTTCGAACCGCTTCGTCCTCTCCGTTCCTCTTTCCCGCGTCGTCCCTCTTCGGCGTCTTCTTACCCGCGCCTTTCCCTCCCTCGCCCCTCCCCTCGTTTCCCCGTTGCTCGCTCGTGGTGTTCGACTTCGCCACGGAAAACGACGAAGACGATGCGAAAAGAAGAAGAGGAAAGAACGGAGAGCGGGAGAGGATCGAGAGAAGTGAGGCCACGCATCTCTTTTTCTTCGGGGCTTCAATTTGAGGACGTGGTAGCGCGTTCGTGCCGCCGTGCTGTGCTACACCATCCGGGAGAAAGAGAAAGAGAGGTAGAGAAAGAGAGGAAAAGGGAGAGAGAGAGAGAGAGAGAGAGGGAGAAAGAGGGAAACAAGGACAGGGAGTACTTGTACACGCGAAGTACACATCGTCACGAGGAGAAGCGTGTACGTGCAAGGGGATAGACACGTAGACGCGGCTACATAGGTACCAACACGACCGTCTGCGTTCCTGCCACGTACCTTGGGCGTGGTGGTTCCTTTTTCTTCGTCTTCGCCGACCAACGTGGTCGATCTCTCCTCATTGGCCCTGGGAATGCCAACGCGTCGAAACGAGATTCGAAAGTCGCGCACACCAAGGGAAGAACGGCACGCCGAGTGAATTCGAAATCTGAATGCTCCACGGACCGCGTCTACCCCGAGCGTTTGCCCGTGGTCCACCCGGCTTTCACCCCGGTGTCACCCTAGCGCCACCCTAGCGTCACCCTAGCGTCACCCTAGCGTCACCCAGGGTTCAGCGGTGGGTGCGTAACCGCGGCGGGTGCGTTTCGGTGTCTGTCTAGTCGAAAGGTACCGAGGTTCGCCGGATCATCCTGTATGCTTCCTGTCATTTATTATTGAGAGAAGCACGAGGGACCTAGGCTGCGCTCTGTATCGATATCGCGGCGACCGGTGAACGATCGAGCCGGGCTACCCCTGTACATCAGCGATCGATCAGTTCGCTCCTACGCTCCAGGAATAAGATAATGCTGTCTCTCAGGGGGGAGCGATATATAAAACCGGCGATCGATCGGCGGTGTAACGCCTTTCGCTGCGTTTAGCCTCGCGCTGCCGCGTGGAACTTCGAGAATTCCGACGAGATTTTTCCATTCTCCCGTGGAAACTTTCTAGAAACGTTGCGCGCTGCCCGATCCGTTGTTCGGTTTGTGTACCAACATTCCGTAGTAGGAATCGGGTGATATGAATGAACCGGAACCGGCCAGTCTTTCACGCAACCAATGCTTCACCTCCACCTCTCGATCGTGATTAATAAGTAGCTGGCACCGTTCTCGTATCGCGATCAAGGCCTTGGGAGGATCTCGTCGATGGAGCACGCGATGCGTTCACGGAAAACCCGAGCGTCGTCGAAATCGGTGCAAATTAACGAGCAGATAACCATCATCCATGCTTGAGTGCGTATACAAACGGGCGTGAATCGTGGCTGTATAGTTAGAGATATTCGCGCGCGAAGCGGGCAGCAGTGGGGGTATGAAAAATGAGCACCGAGCGCAAGATCTTTCGCACGGGCTCGCGGTAGAAAAGGTGACTCGAGAGTCTCTCGATTCGATCGATCGACGATAGAGGGAGAGGGAGAGAGACAGGTCGAAGCTGAGGAACAGATACTTACATTAAGATGGATAAGCGAAAACCCGTTTTTCCATTTTTCTCTGCCATTTTTTTATTTCCTCTTCTTTACCGACAGAGCGAGAGAGGACGAGAGGAGGAGCGAGAGGCGAAAGATTATCGAGGATCGCGGATCGATCTCTTCCTCCTTTAATTCGCATTTTTTACCCGTGACGGATACCGAAGGAACGAGAGAAAAAATTCATTACTCGATCTTTCTCCCTTTTACCAGCTACCGTAACGCCACGTAACACCGGATCACTTACGAAACGTGGTCGTGGCAGACGTCGATCCGCGAATAACCACTCGTACATGTGTCTTTCCGCCCCGTATCTCCACCTTTCCCTCGCTTTCCGCTCGTTTATCTGCGTCCATTTATCTGCCTATCACTGCAGTCGCCCGGCGTACACATGCCTCCGGTGCTACTTCGGCGAGCCTTTCGTCCGCGCTTATCGGCGCGGATCGCCTATAGATAACCGACTCAGTTTCTCGCCATGGAACAATGAATCGACTAATTAACCATCTCGCCTCGATCGTTTATTACCATCGAAATTCCGACGAAAATCCGTCGACCCCGCTTTGACGAACTCTGCCCGTGAATTTTTCATCCCATTGGATAGGAAATCCTGTCTAACAGTTCTCTCTCCTTCCCTCTTTCTCACTCTCTCCTTCTCTTTCTCCTTCTCTCTGTCTCTGTCCCTCGCTGTCTCTGTTCGATCTTTATTATCAGATTCGAAGGTGGACTCGTGGTGGAAGTCGGCTACAAGCGAGCGTGTCTCGGCGTCGCTGCGAGTTTTGTAGGTTAGATGT